ATATTTTCTTCATCCCCACTACATTAGACTTTGATAAGAGTGTGCCTTGGTGTGATTGAAGGCCATGTTAAACAGTGTAAACTGACAGTGGAATGACCAGAAGCAGCTCACTGTTGAAGCATTTGGGTGGTAAGCTGGGGAAGAGCTGTGGACAGAGCGCTGCTTGAAACTCAGAAGACAGTGATTTTAAGGGTAGCCACACCGCCACACGCCTTCCCCACAGTGCGGCGTCTGCGTGCTTCCCAGGGAGCTGCAGTCTCCAGCAGACACCTGCTCCCAGCCAGCTACTAAAAACAGTCAGTTCACACTCACCCAAGAGCATGATTCTTAAACTAACCTGTAACACAGAGAAGTGAATTAACTCTCAGTCTGGTGCCCTCCCTGGTGGTTATTTCACCTTGTGAAATCTCTTAAATTGTAGTCGAGGGCTAGGGTGGTAGCTCTGTGGTAAGAGACATACCCAGCATATACAAGGCCCTGGGTTTAGTCTCCAGCTCTGGAAAAAAAAAAATTAAATATGGTTGGATGAATTATGTCTGGTCAGTCAGAATAGAGATGTGATAGTAGTTTGTTTTAAAATCCTGTATAGTTATATGGTTGTGTTATACAGTTACATAGATCGCTGTTGTTTGGAAAAACCAACTTTGCACTTAATGGAAGCTGCAGTTTGAATATAAAATACATATCAGTAGTGTGTGAACATTACTGCAAGAACTTTTTGTTTTTTCCTTTTTCTAAGATTTATATTCAGTTCTATAGTTCTATGATACTAAAGGAAAACAAAACCAGCTTCTTGCAGATCACTTCTATGATCTCAAAATGTGTGTGCCTGTCTCCCTCTGGAAAGCAGAAACTAGCTGGGCTATTTAATTCTGACATTGCAGATGGAGAGCTCAGTCCCAACATAGAGCTTCCTCAATTCAGACACCAGTTGAAATGTGTAGACCTCTGAAACGTATTACCACCTGGCTGTCAGTTGTCATTCCCCCACCCTTGGGTTTAGCTTACAGGTCAGCCACAACTCAGGGAATTACTGGTGTTTACTAGTTTAGTTTAAAGGCTGTTTTGTAGGAGACAAATACCACTGGGTTTGGTGCTACATGCCTGTGATCCTAGCGTCTGGGAGACAGAAGCAAAGGATTACAGTGAGTTTAGAAGTCAGACTGGACTGCATTAGCAGTTTCAGACCAACCAGGGATACATAATGAGACCCCTAATACAATAGTAAAGAAAGATGACAACAACAGGGAACAGGTAGCTAGACAGAAATTGGTAGGATGAGGTTTGGAAATCTTCTGGGCCCAGGGATTCCCACCCCTGTGGGGCTGGAGCCACCCCTCCCAGCTTGTGAATGAGTTCTTATTCAATTTCATACAAGCTTCTACATGTTGAGCTGTACAGAAATGCTCTGAACCCCACCTCTTTATGAAGTTATGGGTTCTTTATGAAGGCTTCCTTATAAAAGCATGATTAAAACAGGATGATCCTGTAACAGTATGACCAGAAAGGGTGTGGCCTAATACTAGAAGACTGCATAGGAAAACCCAGCAGGGCCTGTCTATCCAGATTCTTGGCCTCTGCAGCAATCTGTCCTCCCAACTATGGGACAGGGCCTCCATTGAAATGGGTTTTATGAACAATCTACAAGATCGGAGAATTCGTTTATGGCCAGCCTGAGACAGAAAGATATGGGAGGCTCAGAAATACCTTTGTTTCGATTACTTGCCTAGGGGAAAAGACATTTTAGTTTCTAGGGCCTTCTGGGAGGAGAAAAGGGCAGAGGAAGACTGTGGTTCCTGACACCTAAAGCACCTCAGCATTACAAGAGACTGTCCAGGGCTGGGATGCAGCTCAGTGGCTAAGTGCTTGATTTCATGTGCAGGGTCCTGGGTTCTATTCCCAACTATGGAGAAAGAGGAGGTTAAAGGACTGTCTTGCATGGGCCCTTATTGTTCTGAAGCCAAACTGAACCAAAAGGCTGTGGTTCTATGAGCCAGAAACCATGGATGAAACAAACTAAGATGGGCCTGTCATAAAATCAGAAGCCAGCACACCCATGTTGTGCTTGATTTCTCATGAACAAGTGTGTCCTGCAGTTTACCATGTTCTGTCTTGCTCTGCGGCAGATAGTTATTCTTTTTGCTGTCTTTTTTTTATCTTTACAATTATGCGTACAGGGATTTTATTTATTTTAGACAAAGGTAGATTTTTAGAAAACAATTCTGTTTCACTGGATGGTTTCTGCATTCGTGGGCAGAAGTAACTGTCTCTTATAAACAGCTACCAGCAAGGCCTTGGGAATGGCGGCCCTGCACAATCTACTGCACAGCAAGGCCTAGTCCCCAAGGGGTCTCTGTGTATAGGAATGCACAGAGATTTTCTTACAGGTGCATTGGCGTTCAGAGCAGGCTTCTGTCCTCACACATGGCATATGGAACGGTCAGCAACAGTAAGCTGGATTCCCTCTCCTGGGGGAAGGAAGGTACCTTCCCTCTGAGCCTATCTTGGACTTCTGTCTACAATATGCTAAACAAATGTGTTGCTTACTTGGTACCCTACTTAAACATCTGTTTAAAATAAAATTATGAAAAAAAAGATTTAAAAAAGCTGGCTAGTTGGCATATGAATGGCAGCATGTGTAGACCTTGTCTTTGTTTTCTTTTTGTAATATATATTTTTATGTATATGGGTGTTTTGCCAGCATCTGTGTCTGCACCACTGATGTGGTTGGTACCCACAGAGACCAGAAGAGGGTGCCAGAACCCTTAGAACTTGAGTTAACAGGTGATTGTAAGCCATTGTGTGGGTGCTGGATATTGAACCTAGGTCTTCTGAAAGAGCAGCAAGTGCTCTTAACTGCTGAGCCATGTCTCCAGCCCCAACCACCTTGTTTCTCAAACGGGGAGAACCTAATTGGAGGAAAATGTATGCATATGAACTGGACCAAGGAGTACCATTAACAGTGCCTCTCAGGCACAGCATCTTGAAGGAGGAAGGGAGGAGTGATGACTATAGAAAAAAGACGTATGATATCAAAAATACCAAATTGAATTTAAGGCTGTGGCAGTTCATAGTGATTGAGATCTAGCTAGAATCATCGAGACTAACCTTTGTGCGTGTCAGTGAGGGAGTCTCTAGATTAGAAGTGCACAGCACTATTTGTGGGCTTAGGATTCAGGACTGAATAATAAAAAGGAAAAAGGCGAGCATCAGCATTCTTTACTGTCTGCTTCCTGACTGTAGTGCAATGTGAAAGCTCCTCACATATTTATCACCCTGCTTTCCTTGTGATGGACTGTACCTGGAAACTGAACCAAAACAACCCCTTCCTTCCCTAAGCTGCCTTTGGTCCCAGTAGTATGTAAAGTAACTAATATAGAAGCCAAAGAAAACAGTTATAGACATATGCACTTTAGTTCACTTGTTAATTTTGCCATGCTAGAGATGAACCACTACACTCGAAACTCAGCCCATGTGTGACTTTAAAAGCTACAGACAAGAGCTAGTGAGGTGGCTCGGTGGGTAAAGCAGTGCTCCCAATCTTGATGACCTGAGTCCCACCCTCAAGACCCACACAGTAGAAGCCCTGACTTCTACAGATTGCCCTTGGCTTTCACATGTGCACCATACTGTGTGCGTACGCACACACACACACACAAAATAAAGTTTAAAAATGTAAAAACTAGGCTGGAGAGATGGTCTAGTGGTCAGGAGCACTGGCTGCTCTTCCAGAGGACTCGGGTTCAATTCCCAGCATGGCAGTTAATATATGAAACTCCAGTTCCAGGGATCTAACAGCCTTACACAGACATACATGCAGGCAAAACACCAGGGAACATAAAATATAAATAAAATATTTTTTAAAAATTTAAGATCTATATAGGTATGGAAAATTGTCAGATATTTTTAGTAAATGAAGCATCCATGGGATACAGACAAAATTAAGGTTAGTAAAAGTGCTGCCAAAAGCTAGCAAAATAATTTTAGATAGTATTAAACAATATGGTTCAGGTATGTGTGTCTGTAGAAAAATGGCCAGTGTCCTCAAAAAATAAATATAAACAGAAAACTGTAAATAAATTATGAAACTAGGAAGTTTTTTAAAATGCTCATGAAAGTAAGGAAATAAGCACTGCTGGTGAGAATTGTTTTTCACTTCTCTGTGTATGTGTGTGTGTGTGTGTGTGTTCAGAAAACATCTTTGTGAAACCATTCCTCTTCCTGCCACCTTGTGGGACCCGGAAGTAAAACTTAGTCATCAGGCTTGGCAGCAAGTGCTTTTACCCTCTGAATCATCTCACCAGAGTGCAACAAATCAAGAACTTCAAAAAAGTGAATATAACCAATTATTCAGTGTCTGTGTTTCTGGAAGATAGTCTAAAGAAAAGAGTAAGATGGACAGAGGCTCTCCCATACTGTGTCACATAGAAACACTGGACTCACTTCCTGAGACAGGTTTGCATGTTGACACAGAACATCATGTCAGGTGATCCTGTCATCTTACTAGTAAGAAGGGATACTGGAGAATATATGTATGTACCTCACACATCAGGACTTTAGAGGTAGGAAGGCTGTGTGCACCATGTTCATTGTTCTTAACTGTAGATGGTTGAGCAGCTGGTGGACTTCTTTTTCCATTTTTGCTTAGCAATACAGTGAATTTATTTGTAAACCCTTCAACCTCACCTCCCATGAATTGTGTTTAGGACAGGTTTCACAATAGTCTAGGTTAGCCTGAAACTTGAGCAGTCTTCCTGCTTCAACCTCTGAGTACTGAGATGACAGGTGTGAACCACCATGCCCCACGCCTCTCAATTCTTAAATAACTATACATCTTTATATTTAGTCATTATATAGATGTGATTGATGTCATAGCAGCTACAGACTAACAGTTGTGTTCATTTTCATTAAAGTCATTGGCCTACAACTTGGAAGGATATGGATATCTTAGATTCGTATTTCCTCAGTCCTTTATTTTTTGTCTCCTTTTATCTATTTAGAATCTCCATAATGAATGGATCCAGTACAGCAAGCACGTCACCCAATGTGAAATGCAAAGAGGACCAAGGGTTAAATGGACATGAGGAAAAGGAAAACCCATTTGCAGAATACATGTGGATGGAGAATGAAGAGGATTTCAATAGACAGGTAGGCAAAGGTAGAAGGTAGTCACTATCCCAGTGAGCTACTGTAATCTTTTGCTGTACTTGTAGGAACAGTGTTGTGGTGAATTTAAATGATACAGCCTAATAAATGTTTAGTATTACACTGTAATTATTACAGTGGTATTATCTAACCCCACTATCAATCCAATAAAGACACAGACACGTGTTATAGCTTATAAAATAGCATTTACCTTCATTAGCACTGCAAATATTAACCCTCTAAACTAACTTCACCTCCCTGCCCCAATCTTGAGTTACCTCCCATCCATGGCCCCAAAATACTTACTAATGTCCTCTGTCTCCTCCATCCATGATGATCTGGCCATGTGCTCCTTTCCCATGCTAATCCACGGCACCAGCCATTTCCTTCTCCTCTGATCCTGTCTTCTCCTTCTCCTCTCCTTGTGGTTCCTCAATCTCAGCCTGCGAACCCCAAACCCCACCTCTCTTTCTTCTGCCAAATCCCAAGCTTCAGCATTTTCAGTTAACAAATCAGCTTTAAATTAGGTGGAGCAAGGTTTACATGACAGGTATACTTGAGAATGTGCTCATCTGAGCAGGGACAAGATCTTGGGGACCAGTAATTAACAGAACAGGATGGTTCTTCTGGTGTTAATAAAGGCTCAGCATACTCAGAGAATGAGAATGGCCTTAGCATCCAGAGGCTGATAGCTCAAGTTAGAATCTATAGCTCTGCGTTCTAAGAATCTATAGCTCTGCGTTCTAAGCCAAAAGCTTGACTTTCTAACTCTTCCTAAATTCTCAAGGACCTGTAGTCTCCCCTTCCCTCTTCCCTTCTGCCCTCCGTGGGTCTCTGTCTTCCCTATACTTCCACCAACCATCCTTTTTGCTGGTTGTACAGAGTTCTTCCCTGCCCTCTTGCCCCCACTGACACTGCTGCTACCATTGTTAGTGGTGGAGCCTACTACAGCACTTGGCAGACATGCCCTTGCTGCTCTTGCATATCTCATTCTGGAATGTCATATTAAAATTGGTAAGACAAGAAGATACTTTATCAAGGTTTCCAGGCCACAGTTTCATTACCATAAGATTCACCTCAAAATCCATGGTATGAAAAACATTTCATGGGTCCTATGAGATGGCTCAGTTGATAAAGGCAATTGCTATTATGCCTTATCTCCTGAGTCCAATCCCCAGGACCCACATGGTAGAAAGAGAACAAGCTCCCTCCCACAAGATGTCCATGACATCCACATGCATGCAGTGGCACATGGGCTTCTCCCTCCAACAATAAACAAACATACTAAAACCTTTTGAAGCTGTAATCCCTAACACTAGTATGTCATTGGTTTGGGCGGAAGGTACACACCCCTGTGCATGTGGAGGCCAAGTGTGAATATTGTGTGCTTTTTTCCTATCAGTCTCCACTTTAGTTATTAAAGAGGAACTCTCAGTGAGTCAGTAGCTGGTGAGCGGCTGGACGGCCTGGCCAGTAGTCCCCAGATTTCCTCTGTCTCTGCCTCTAGACACTGGGTTTAAAGGGGCACACCACCACACCTCGCTTTTAACCTGGGTGCTGGGGATCCAAACTCAGGCCCTCATGTTTGTACACAAGCACTTTATCTGCTGAGTGGTCCCCAGTCCTTTCATGGGTCTTTTGTGGTGGAATTGTTCCCTGATAGATGGTCATGGTGGTGCATGCCGATAATCCCAACACTTGCAAGTTAGACGTAAGGGGATCAGGAGTTCAAGGCTCTGTCTCAAAAAAAAAAAAAAAAAAATGTTGAACGATATGAAGCTTTTAGAACCAGATTGAAATGTCATCTGAAGAGGAGACTAAGTTTTCAATAAGGAAATATCATTTGTTTGGGATCTCAGCAAATAGTGATATATGATAGTACGTATTTGTTATCCCAGCACTGCAGAAGTAGAGTCAGCAAGAACAGATACAGAGAGCCTGACCCAGACAGATAACAGATGTGATCTCAGGAAGTACAGCTTAAGGGGCTGAAAAGATAACTCTACAGATAAGACTGCTTGCTGTTCTTGTAGGAAACAGGAGTTTGGTTTCCAGCACCTACAATGGTAGCCCACACCTCCTGTAACTCCAGTCCAGTGGATCTGGTGCTTTTCTGGCCTTTTTATTTACCTGCACTCATGTGCCCTTACCCTCCATTGAAAATAAAATGTCTTAAAAGAAGGATAACTCAGGAAAATGAAGAATTCTTTTAAGAAACACAATTAAGTTACATTTGTGAATGATTTATATTCTCACTCAGATAATTTTAATAGTAATAATTTAATATTAAAATTATAGAGAATTATGTAGAGAGAAGACATTTGGGTATGTGGGAGGGCAAACACCAATTCTCTACAACTTGTAGGCTATTGCCACTGGCAAGACATGACATGGAATGTCTATCAAAGAGCTGCTCCGTTGGGTCTTAGGGGTCCTCTAGATTCATATTCTCTAACCAGAGGATTTTTTTTCCTGTAAGCTCCAATCATTTCCCCATGAATGTCTAATAACTAAAGTCAGAGTAGGCATGATGTTCATTCATGCCTCAGAGTTGAGACTCAGGGTCTTTTGTTTGTTTTTCTTTCTTTCTTTTTTTTTCTTTTTCCTCTCTCTTTTTTAATGTTGTTAGTGCTAACTTCTCAACTCTTATGCAAAGAAAATGGAACACTGCTATTATAAGAGAGATAGATACTTTTAGGCAAGGTCCTAAAAGAAACAGCAATGGTAAAGTACTTGAGCAAGGGAGTATGTATGAGAATGGAGAGCAGAAATGTGGTGGCTTATACCTGTGGTCCTAACACTTGGTATGCTGAGACAGGGTGGTTGATGAACATTCACAGCCAGCCTAAGCTGTATACATAGTTAGTCCAGCTCTGGCACAGATTGAGGAAAATAGAGTATGGATAGAGAAAATAAATACCAGACATTTCAAAACACAAAGCTATACATTTATGGCTTAGAAATGCTTTATTGTTATTTAAGAGCTTCATAACTATATAATTTATGAGATTTAAAATATTTGGACAATTATAAATTTAATTTGCTTTTCTTAAGCTGGGTAATAGAACATGCCTGTAATCTCAGCACTTTGGAGGTTCAGAAGTTCAAGGCCAGCCTCAGGTATACAGAGAGTTCAAGACCAGCCTGGGATATATGAAACTCTGTCTAAAAACAGAACAACAGAAAGAATAAAAAACTTGATATCGGTGATTTTTCTGAACCTATGAGGCACGGTTGAGGTGATTTTTGTTGTTGTTGTTTGATATATTTTGTTTGTGGAGGCAATGAGCTATGATCCTATTACCCAGCAGGAGGTGGGAAAGAGATTTGCCAGCACGGAGTGGCCCATCGAAGTGACTGAAATCTACAGAGTAAACACTGTCTGCAAAGGAATTGGGAAGTCCTACATCTCTTTAATTCAGTTTGTGACAGTGTTTAAGAAGTACAGAGTAGTTTAAATATCCAGTGTTCTTGCACAATGTCACTTTTGTATTGTGACATGCATTTTTGGTGATGCACCAGAAAGTGTCCTTTGTATCCCTCTAAGGTTCTGAAGGTGTTTTTCTGTGTTTTTCTTTGGGGTTCTTATTATCAGAAAAGTGGGTCAGGAGCTAATATTGGTTTTGATTTAATTTTCAGAATCCAAGTTGCAGACCAATTACATACTTCCTATGTCTTTTGCATATTCCCTGTAAATGGGAAAATTAAGAATTTTGTTGTGTTTTTTGAATCAGGGTATCTAGTACATAGACCAAGCTGGTCTTGTATTTATAGAGATCCACCTGTCTCTGCTTCCTGAGTGCTGGAATAACTGTATGCCACCACATCTGACTAGAAACAATGCTTTTGACAAGATCAAAGAAAGAATCCAAGCTAAAATGATCTTCCATACCACCATAAAAGTGGAGGATAAAAAATAAAAGCAAGATAATCAAAACTAAAAGTAATAATAATAGTGTGTCCCATAAAGACCTGCCATTTTGGTTAACTAAACTCTTTCTTTATGGTTATTAATTTTCTGTTCCTGTGAGAAAATACCATAACCAAAAGCTGCTATGTTAGCTTACAGTTCTGGGGAATTACAGTCAGTACATCATGTTTGAGAAGACACGGCGACAAACAAGCATTTGAAGCAGGAGCAAGAGGCTGGCTGATCACATGTTATCTGCAAATTGGAAGCAGAAAGAACGAGAAATGGGCTAGGGCTGGAAATCTTAGAGCCTGCCCTCAGTGACATCCTTTTTCCTTCAAGGCTCCACAACACAAAGGTTCTGTGCTGTCCGTAACTAAACAGCATCACTAACTAGAGAGCAAGTATTCAGAAACCTGAGCCAACTGGGAACATTCTCATCTCAACCACAATAGTTATCAGAAGCACATTAGCTCTCCTGCCCAAGAGCTCTCCAAGCTCTTCTGAGTTGCAGACTGAGGACTCCTAAAGGGAAGGGCTGGGAACCTGGGACAGGTCATCCTCTGGGATAGTACCTCTGAGATTTCCTCTTTGTTGGCAGGTAGAAGAAGAGCTGCAGGAGCAAGACTTCTTGGACCGCTGCTTCCAGGAGATGCTAGATGAAGAAGACCAGGACTGGTTCATTCCAGCACGAGACCTCCCTCAGGCTGTGGGACATTTACAGCAGCAGTTAAATGGACTGTCAGTCAGCGACACTCATGAATCTGAAGACATTTTGGTAAGAGCCTTAACTAGTTCCACGTGTGACATCCGAAAAGAATTGAAAAGGGAGTTGGAGTCATAGATGCTCTGTGTGGCCCTATACCCTACATGAAGTCTCCAGAGCCCCTGAGCTACTATGTCTTCACCCCTTAAATGGCCCCCAGCCCTGTGAAATTATAATAATCAGCTTTCATTTACTTTGATGCTCTGCACTGGGATAAAGGAAAGAAATCTGAGTTGGGCTTCAGAACACCACTTGATACTGTCTTTCTCTTTCACTGTTTGTATTTAACATTCCCTCGTGCTAGGAAAACTTCCCGTTAGAAGAGCACACTCCCAACAGGCTAGTTTGCACTTCAGTTAAATCAGGGAAGTGAGTTCCTTGCCTTCTGTTTTGACGTGGCTGGAATTCTGTGAGTGATCCATAGCTTGTGAGTGGCTATGCCCTGTAGTGAGCCAAGACTCAGGGTATTCACAAGAACAACAAGGGTCACGGAAAGATGAGAAAAATAGAGGATTTGGTATCCAAGCTAGTTTTAAGGAATATTGTTTTTCACCATGCTAATTTGTTCAGTGGCATGAAATGCTGTTTGGAATGAGTATCATTTATACATTCAGGGGACTATCCTATAATGAAGTGGGAAGCAGGAAGGAGGAGCCTCTGAGAACAATACAGCCTTCTAGCTGGTTGTTGGTGGTGCATACCTTTAATCTCAGCACTCCAGAGGCAGAGGCATGTAGATCTCTGAGTTCAAGGCCGGCCTGTTATAAAGAGTGAGTTCCAGGACAGCTAGAACTAAAACAGAGAAATCTGTCTAAAAAAAAAAAAAAAAAAAAATGTCCTTCTTTCCCTAAGTCTTACCCAGAAGGGTGCTATGGTGTAGCTCAGTTGTGGAACACATACTTAGCATGTATCAGACTCTGGGTTCATTCCTAATCACTGCAAAAATAAAGTTTAAATGTTTTTTTTTTTCTCCCTTCTTCTTCTCTTCCTCTTTCTCCATGTGCTTTCATCTCTCCGCAGGGCTGGGGATTTGAACCTTGCATATGCTAGGCAAATACTCTACCAGTAAGCTGTATCCCTAGCCTGGAAATAAGTTTTAAAGTGCAATATGACATGAAAGCAGAAAGATGACCATTGGTATGGGAAGGAATGAGAGACAGGGTTAGGGTCAGTGTAATGCCTATGAATATTATGTTATAATGAAACATTATTTTGTATGTTCACTAATTTTTTTTAATCCTGAAAAATAATAATAAAATTATAGCTTGCTTTGAGATGTTTTTTCTTGGTTCTTATTTCAGAGCAAAAGTAACCTGAATCCAGATGCCAAGGAGTTTATTCCAGGAGTGAAGTACTGAGCTGTTGGAAGCTTCCAGAAGGACTTGTCTTGTCCCCATACCTGGGGCCAGCAATGCGCAAAAAGGCCAAGCTGAAGTGGGGGTGTGCAGCCAAGGCGGGTTGGGTCGGGAAGGTGGTTTAACTGGACACTGTGACTCTGAGCAACTAATGTTTGAGGTACTACTCTCTAAGCCTCTGAGCCTGGCTCTTCTGTTCTGCTGACTTGTTCAGAGCAGCTTCCATTTTATTTTATTTTTGGTGAGCTCTTTGGAGTTAAGCAACTGCAGTTATTTTCCCTTTGTAAGGAATGTTATTTGCATTTAGGCAAAATAAGCTGACCAAGGGGACAATATTTAAATAATTTTTCCTGCTGTGTGCCTACCAGGAGCAGGGCACCTGGAGAGCTTAAGGAGTTTGGAGCTAGGTGGTAAGAGAAAGAAACAGAAGCAGCAAACCAGATGCAACATTCAGTTCCCCATCCCCTGACATTTCTGTGATGAACTAAGGTGCCAGTGGCCCACAAAGCTTTTGTCTTCTGTCCTGAATTCTACTCAAGGAAAACAGATTTGACAGTTCTTGGATGAGTGTAATGTTGGATGGATGTAAGGTACACACCCGAAGACCTCGACTTGATGGTGACTGTCTTTTAGCTACTGCTGTCCTGTCGTTGGTGTATAGCTGCTGCCACTCACCATTTACAGGTGAAAGGTTACAGAGGGTTGCTTTGTCTTCTTGAACCTCATGGGGGCTACTCCTGGCTTTCCCCCCACAGCTCTAAGACACTGTTAGCCAAAGTCTGAGATGGGCCTTTAGTGTTAGATATATCTTGAATATTTTTAGGCAGTTTTGTTTTTCTAAGTCACTTAATATTTGAGTCTTACTGTGTCTTAATTCCCTCAAAGACTTCTGTATTTTTTCAAGGAAATACATTTTTTTCCAGGCACTAGAAAGCTGCTCAGTTCAGTTTCGGTGTTTCACCTGCCTTACAGAGTGATTCCCAGAAACTAAGCTACTGAGGGGTCCCGCCCAAGTTCATAACACAACTCTTGGCTTTCCATGTACATGAAGCTGTTATTGGGTATGACTGCTCCCATAAACCAGCTTTTTAAATTTCCTCATGGTCCTGTCAAGGTGCACTCTTAGTTCTACCTGCAACTTACTAGGGTTTTGTTAATACTCTGTGGAACTGAATTCCACCCGGACCTGGTGTTATGAGTAGAGATGAAGGTGTTAGTGTCTGATGGGTGAAAGAGTAAGTGTCCTGACCTGACATATTCCAGGACAAGGGACTTGGGAGGCCTGGGAGTGCTGTGGCTTCTGTGATGCTGTCACTGTGCTGTGACAGGTCTGGAAAGATCTTGTAGCTTCCTACAGTCTGTCAGTTCAGCATGTGGATGTGGGCAGAGACTGGAAGAAAAGGACTGGGTCAGAAAAGCTGAAGGATTTTCCCTTTTTCATGAGCTGGTTGGCTGACTTTCCATTTTGTCTTGGTGCAAGGATAGAACCCAGGGTCTCACTTGTGCCAAGCTAGCCCTACCGTTGAGCTGTCCTCAACACTCCCTTGACTTGTAGACAGCCCCAGCAGTTAAATACAACTTTCCTCTCTTCCCTTGAGTCTCATAGGATGGCCTCTTGTGAAAGTGGCCTCCCCATCAGGTCACATCATACAGAGTAGCTCAGGGAACTTATATGGCCAGACACAGTAATTCCCAAAGCCTCTCCCTCAAGAGAATGAAACTAGGAACTTCTGGGAGGACTTTACTCCTGCTACTTTTAATAAGGAGAGGGAAGGTATGGGTAGGGCATAAAAAGATTCTCTGCTGCAGTCTCCAAGAGGCTGTTGGAGTTCAGAATGTATCAAGATAGCAGGAAGATCCCTGAGAATTTCCATCAGCATGTAGTACACCCTCCTCTGAGGACCTAGCTGGGAGTCCTATGTAAGCCTGAGAGGTTTTGTTCTTAAGTTTTGCTCGTTGGAAGCCAAGCTGCTAGGAGTGGTCCAAGAGGCCTGCCTCCCCTCCTGGTGTGCTGGTTTCAGGGGTACATCTGGTTGCTACTACTGCTAGATAGAACACTGTTGGGTGTGCCTGGAAACCAAGGGCTGGTGTGCTGGGTCCACCTCAGAGGCAGGGTGCCGACTCCAGGCTTGGGGGATGGAGCCGGTGAGGCGGCCCTTGGTAACGTGTGTGGTGACTCGCTCTGTGGCCCAGCTCTTCTACCATCCAACGTTGTGAGGTAGCACAGCTGTACTCCAGACTACAGATTCAGCCCCAGTTAGTTTGCCAACTTAGCAAGAGTTTGGGGCCTCCCCCACCCCACCCGAGAATTTATACTCCAATAGAAAACATTCTTAATGGTTGCTGGTCTGGCTGGTCCCAGTATTCATTTATTAGTGACTGAGTTCTAATTATGATTATTTGACCCTATAACTTTTTGGGGAGGGAGTAAAGAAACGCCTCTTTGGGCAGTTTGGACTGCATCAGAAATCTGAGGTAGCCAAAGCATGGGTACTGTAGCTCAGGGTTGGGGACCAGTTTATATCTATAGTGTACCTGACTTTTGGTTATCATATAAGCAAGGCAGAAAATATTCTAAAGAGAAGATTGGGTGTTTTTTTATTGAACCCAGGACCTCACATGTGCTATGCAAGCACTACACCAAGCTGTATTCCAGGCCTGTGAAAGACTGGGTCTTGGTAGCACCCCTATTTCCAAAGTCATAAGACCTGCGATTGCTTCATGTAAGGCTAACTGTGGCTTAAAAATAAATGTTTTTAGTGAACTGCTAAGCATTTTCCAGGTTATTGTTAATATCAAGGGTTCATTTTGACTTTAGATGCAGGTAAACAGCTCTGTGAGTTAGCACCTCAATGAGGATCTGGGAAGGGGAGACAGCCAGAGTAGACCTCTTAGAGCTGTGGTAGATAAGCATGTGACTGCCTGACTTCCTGGGTTTGTCCCCTATTGCTAGAGGGGACAGGCCTGTTCAGTAAGGGTCTTGGTATTACTTGCTATTAGTCTTTGTTTACAGGATGCCAAAGACAGGAAATCAGAGGTCTGACAGATTTGACTAGTATTACCCACCTGGTAGATTATCCCAGCCACTCTCCCCTGGGAGCATAGGGGCAGGGGACATAACACTTCCAAGCGGGGAAGAGTAAAAAGGGTGCTGCCTTGTGAAGCAGGGACCCTGACTGACCTATCCACACCTGCCATGAGACTCGTTGTCTCCGTGAATGGTCAGTTCCGGGATGGCTCAGTGCAGCGGGTGTGAGCATCTACCAAAGCCCATCCTGCTACCCTGAGGACCAGATTAGATAGTCACAATCTGGAAGGAGGCGGGTCCTGTCATGCACTTGGGGACCTTCCTTTTCCATGTTTAATCTCACATCCAGAAGCTACTGGTGGTGATGGGAACAGAGCAGGAAACAATAAAGTTGACTGCATATTACTTGGCCTCTGTCCACATCACCTAACCCACTCTTGGATCCCAGAGGTTTCCACTTCCTGGGAGTAAGGGACTAGGATTTTAATCACACTGCTTTCTTCAGGGTATCAAGCTAAGGAGCCACACTTCCTGTTCTTGGGGAATTTAACCAACAGGTGTAATATACATAAACTTTTGTTTTGTTGCTTATAATTTAAATGGAAGATTTGCCGAGCTCTCCTCCCCAAATTACCTTACTACTTTTGTTTAAAATGAAGAAACAGTCTAGGTTATTGGTAACAAGAAAAAAATTGGTAGTTCTTAGGATCAAACTCGGGAACTCACACAACTAGGCAAGCATTCTACCAATGAGCTTACCCCTTATTCTTGTCCCTGAGTAATGATACTAAAAAAAAAAAAAAAAAAAAATTTGAGTCATCTTGCTCTGTGGTCCAGTCTAGACTTGAACCTCTGGTCCTCCTGCCTCAGCCTCTCCAGTGCTGACACTGTAGGTGTAGACTATCAGGCTGTTCTAACTATCATCATATTGTACTGTTACTAAGTTGTTTTCAGTGCTGGGTGTTAAGTGGACAATTCCATGCATTGCTGAGAAGGTTCCCCGACAGCAAACTGCATCCCTTAACTGTAAAATGTATTTCCTATAAAGTAGTACTTGTCTCACTTTATAAACACAGAATTCTGTCCTGCCAGTTGTGAGCCATCAAAAATAGTTAACAGCTACATGTTGGTGGTACACACCCTGAATCCCAGAGACAGGAAGGTCAACAAATTTCGGCCAACAGGGAGTTCAGACCAGCCAGGTCTACGTAGTAAGACCCTGCCAGTAAATAGTAAGTTAATAAACTAGAAAAGTGGCCCCCAATTGGCCCCAGTATGGCCAGTGCACCTCTCCTGGACATTTCATGTCAGTGGAATTAAAACACACTGGTCTCTTAATCTGACATTGAGGCGCTCTTTACTTGTTGAGCCGTTTCCTGTTGAGTATACTGCATTCTGTCAGCCCCTTAAGCTTGGCTCTCCAACTCCACTTTGGCAAATCCTCTGCAAACAGGACCTGGGAGCTGCTGTGCTTCTGAGGAGCCTCAGCCACTGCAGGTTCTTATGATTCTCAACTTATCAAGAACCTCTGTGCTTTCTAGTGCAGGCCAGCAGTTTTGAAGTACATGAGGCCCATTTAGTAAGGAGCACAACTGGACAGGGTATGAAACTGCACTGTTCTTTTACCCAGAAACAGTGCTGAAACTGCTGAACTTTCTAGTCATGCCCATGGGTAACGAGAGTTGTACAGACTGTGCTAGGCAGGTGAGGGAAAGAGGTGGTGGTGATGTTCACAGGAGAAAGGAGAGCCAAAGTGGAAATGGAGGAGCCAGTGGAGCCCAGTAGCTGCCTGGCACCTCCAGGTCCAGATTCTGGACCCTTGTCTCTATTGTATTTAAAAGCTTGTTGCTCCAGGAATACAGCTTTTAAAATCTAAAGAAGAAAAAGGAACAAAAAACAAAAGGCTGGAGAGATGGTTCGGCAATTAAGAACACTGTCTGCTCTTCAATATGTTCCTGGTTCAATTCCCAGTACCTGCATCGAGGCTTAAAACCATCTGAAACTCTAGTCCCAGACAGATAATCTTTCTTTCTGGTCCCTGCAGGTACTGAATATACACTGTGTATACATGCAGGCAAAACACCCAAACATAAAATTAAAAAAAAAAAAAAAAGCCCTAAAAATAGTCTCCCTAAAAACACCAAAACTGAAAAAAAAACGTTACTTAAAATTTTGTTCTACCAACATCAAGTGGTGGCTGTTGAAGAAGTCAGTAAGTGAGAGTAAACACACTTGCTGAGGTGGCCCCTTCTGGCTAAGCCTTTTGGACATGTGTGCTATGCAGGAGATGGAGAGAGGAAAAACCACACAGAGGTTAAAACAGTAGCATTGTTGCACATCTGGTTAATCTGGATCTGGGAATGAAGAAGAACCTGCCTCTGGGCAAGTAGAGACTACTTCCTGGAAGGAATAGTTCTAGAGGAAAGACCCTTCTCCCAGGGCTGGCAGTAGCCGCCAACAAGGCCTGAGAGACAAGGGTAACCAAGCCAGGTGAGCAGCAGTCAGTGCCTCCTTGGCTCTTGGGGATTCATTCACTCAAGAAACAATAAAATGTCCTATATACCTACAGCTACCAAATGCAGTTAAGTCAAAATTGAGACTATGGTTGTACTGTGCCCCAAGTCCTACTGGGAACCTTGGGAGAGGTTGTTACAAATCTTGGGTTATTCCCCCCAGAGGTGGGCATGGACACAACTTAGTTCCATCATGAGGAATGATAACTCTGCCAAGTAGAAACTTGGGTCCCAGTTCCTGGCAGCCAAAGCATGTAGTGTAGAGACACTAAGTGTAGGGCCATGGTGTGCCTAGAAGCCCGGGGGTGCACGCAAACACAGCACGCACCTGGCGTGGATCTTTAAACCTAAGCCTGCCAGGCTAACCTGCTGGAGGTGCTGAAGACATGCACAGCAGTGTGCTGAGGATACCACCCGGAGGGAGGGGGTAAAGTGCATTTATTTCTTCCACATGTATTTTTAAAAAGGAAAACTCTCCCTTCTAACGTTCACTGTCGTGGAATGGGGAGGTGGGCAGACCCTAGAATGTGTAGGAATAGAAGGCAATGGCATTGATGCTGTAGTCCATGGGAAGGTGGTGTCCAACATGCCTGGCACCGAGGCTGGCACCCCCCAGGGCAGAAGAATGCCGGAGCTTCATCAGGGTGAAGCTGGAGAAGGCGTTCTGTGCCTGCAGATCTCGGCCCTGGGTCAGCGCCAGGAGAAAGCCTGGAGGGAAGAATGCAGAGAGGAGACCAGCAGCTGGGGTTTCAGTGCAGATGCTAGAGGCCCCATGCCAAGCATCCAGCAGAGACACCAGGATGATGTGGATCCTGGAACTAGCATCCCAAAAGAACCCACACAACTCAACTCCAGAGCACACAATACCCACAATTTCTTGGTGCCAAAATCTAGGGGGGGACCCTTGCACTGTTTCAGAGAATCTAATGGAAATCCTACAACTGGCTGAACTGAGGCTGACATGCTAAATCCCTTCTGGCCAGAATGGTGACTAAAGAAGGGTGCCACCACGGGTTATCACACACTGGTCTGAGCTCTAAGGGGGTGGAGAGATGGCTTCATGATTAAGGGTATTTGCTGCTCTTTGGAGGACCTGGGTGCAGTACCCAGCACCCACATGGTGGCTCACAATCACCTGTAACTCCAGCTCCAGAGGATCTGACACTGTTTCCTGCCCTCCTTGGGCACTGCCTGCCCACACACACAGACATAACTGCTGGCAAAAACACCCACATAACATAAAAGTAAATAAATGTTAAAAAGGGATTAATACATCATTTACAATAGAACATCTTTTCAGGGGCTCAAGAGCTGGAGCTGCACAGCTTTTCAGTAGAGCACAGGCTTAACAAGCACACACCCCAAGAGGAGCTCACAGGGGTTAGATAAACAAGAAAGGGGGCCACTTCACCCTTCTTCAGCTGTGTCCTTTGTCTTCAACCACATCTGCCCACCCAGACTCACCTTCCTTCAGCAGCTCCCAGCTCTTCCACACTGAGCCCACACACAGAATGGGGAGGCCAAGCTTCCCTTGGAACAAAACCTGGCAAAAGGACAGAAAATCGGACACTGCCAGGCTGACAAACCCTACACCTTGACAATGCGAAACAGAAGATGGACAAGGGGGTTAAAAAAAAAAAAAAAAAGGCAAAGAGGAAAACAGGAGTCATGAAAGCAAGGCAGAGAAGAAGACAGGAATGGTCAAATAAGAGGATGAAGATAGCGCCACATGAAGCCAGTCTACATACACAGGAGCACATAGAGTTTGATGGGACAATGTCACCACCCTAGGCCAAGGGCCAGACCTCACCCTCCTTTGTGTTCGCCTCAACTCACCGGGTCAATCTTTGGTAACACTGCTACAATATGTCTGCCCAGCATCTCACCAGCCTTCTTGAAGATGTGCTGGCAAAGAGGGTCTCCCTGCTGTGCACCTGGGGAAGGTGAAGGGAAAGGGGCTCACGTATACAGAAAGCACACTAGCCACTCTCCCTGAGTTAAGGCAGCAAGCTCAGGGCAAGTTATTGTTAAGATGGACGCCCACGTTGGTAAGCAAGCCTCCTCCCATCATTCCAGGGACCTCCCTTTCCAGTGCCCTGCTGGAAGTAGCTCACTATGCTTACCAGAGTAGTAGGACTGGGTTCCAGTGAACTACTAAATCACTACTGTGTCTGTCCCCATGAGTCTTATCAGCCCTGTGAACAAGGGACCCCATCCATGAAGACTGCTGATTTTCTTGTTAGTGACCAGCACTCCCAGCACTGTGCTGCTAGCTAACCTCATCAGGCCTAGTGTTTTGTTTTTTGTTTTGTTTTGTTTTAGGGCTAGTTTTTTTTTAAGCCTCAGTCCAGAAATAAACACACATCCAAGTTAAAGAGAAGCAAGCCTCACTCAGAAAACAGTATGTAAACATGCACGCTCCACCCAAAACTAACACAACTGCGTTAGCTTTCCAACCCTTTTTTCTGTGAACTTGTCCAAAGGACATCACTTCAAGTTCTCAGAGCCAGGCTTGTAGACTGCATCCGCCACACAGCCACCAGGGAGAGAAACACAGGCAGCCCAGTGCTGTCTTCTCTTCGCCCTGCCCAGCACACTAAGCTGAGCTGCGCACTCCAAGCTCCTTGTGGGACGCCCACCAGCAAGCCGTGCACCACACTCCCACCAGACATGCTTTGGGGACCAAACTACATATAAGCTGGCACCTACAGCACCTTCTGCAATCTTCCGGCAAAACCCAGCAAACTTGGATTTATCAAAATCCCTATACAAGTGGGTGAGAATTCCCAGCCGATCTGGCACCTGAGGAACACAGAGACACAAGCAGTCAAGAGACACAGAAAACTGCTGGTCGGTCACCTACAGTGACCTTCCTAGTGTGTCTATTGAAATGACCAAAATATTTCAGGGCTTTTTTCTTTCTTCAACAGGGTTTCTCTGCGTAACCTTGGCTGTTCCGGAACTCAAACTGTGGACCAGGCTGGCCTCAACTCACAGAAATCCGCCTGCTCCTTCCTCCTGAGTGCTGGGATTAAAGGCATGTGTGGCCACCACCAGGCTTTTCCTTTTTCTCTTTTTTGAAGCTTTAACAATTACGGAAATTTGAGATTTCTAAGTTGAATAGTTTTTTTTCTTTTTCCTCAAGATCAAATGCATTAAAGAACTCTTGAAACAATTGCTTCAATTAGAGCAGCACTCTCCTACAGTCCCTGCTCACAGTGGCAGACCAAAGGCTCTGAAAAGTACTGCAATCAAGAGATGGATTCATCTCCCAGACTGTCTTCACCACCAACAATCTAACGCATGTGACCCTTCTGAGTCCCCAAGAATGCAGAGCCTTTTCTGAGTACATTGTAGTGGGGATAGGGTAAGTGTGAGCATCTACAGAAACATTACTAAGTGTCTTATACACTTGTCTCACGTGGCTTTGCTTAAATGTTTCTAAAAATGGCTAACATTCCTCAGAGGAAACAAGTCACTGGTCTGAACACCCTGCCAACACTACTCTGGATCCTGCCCTTACCAACCACTTCTCCACCTTGCTGTTCTGACCCACCTGAAGACCCTTATCCCCCATCTCCTGCAGCCTCTCCACTGCAGTCCCCAGTGTCCTACACTCGGTGTACATGACTGTAGGGTAGGCATTACCTGGAAATAGTTGAACATGGCCTGTTTGACATAGCCAATATCATGAGGAGCTGCCTCCAGGTTGTCGATAGAGTCAAACACAATCTTCACAGCTTGGTGTGAAATCCAGTAAGCTGCGGAGAGCAGAGGACAAAGAAGACAGCCAATCACAGAGCCAGTCTCCTCACCAAGAAGGGCTCTCAGCTCAAGACCAGTTAGAAGTCAGTGATCAGTCAGTGGTTCGTGGTAGTGGAACGAGGCTTTTAACCAAACTGTGTGACAGACCCAGACAAGGGAAGGCTGGTGGGAAGACCGAGTAAGTGAACTTGTCACCAGCTCCCATTCAAAGACAAGGCTGGTAAACTGTCACACAGCTGCAGTCCCAGCATGGGCTGGACTCAAAAGCCACCAAAGAAATGTATACACACTGCCTAAAAAGCAGTGTCAGTGGGGAAAGTGTTTCCAGACACCTTTCCCACTGACAGGAAGTCTCTGGACAGTAATGGCCTTACCCTTCGGTTTCAATCCTTCCCTTGGGTCTCCAAAAGTCAACAGATGTGGGCTATACCACCATGCCATGAAGTAGATCCTGGGCATGAGAGGCTACTAAGAAGCAAGATGGTAACTGTGATTCTCCCAATACTATCCCGTACACCAAAACAGGTTTAGGAGATATTTAGGGACACCTGTTTAGATTTAGTTACCAAGAGGACAGGAAAAGGGAGAGAAGCCATAGAAAGGGGTATGTTCAGGCCCTATGTGAGCTCACCTGAGCCCTCGTCTCCCATCATGTGGCCCCAGCCACCGCAGCCACTCTCAGAGCCATCAGGGTTGATAAGCCTACAGTTGGAGCCTGTTCCAGAGATGAGCACAATCCCACCTGGGGAGAGGGTATGGGGGCTCAGTGTGGCCAAGAGCCCACGCAGAGCAGAAGTTTCCCACTGCAAAAAATTCGGGCAGAAACCAGCCTCCCAGTGGAGGGATCACCACCCAAACTCCCAGAACAAACAGCCCACTCGCTTCCTGTCCAGGGAACATGGCTCCCTGCCAGGCAGAGTTCTAATAATCTTGGCTTTCTTGAGTGCCAGAGACTATTGTAGACCCTGTTTTTACAGTAACCATCAGCACCCTAAGTCATACAGACAGCGACCCCCACTTCCACAACTTCTCAAAGATGGGAGAGCTGTCAAAACAGAGATGGTCTCATAAGGTAGCTGTGGCTGGCCTAGGACAGTAATCTGTCTGCCTGCAAGTTAAAGACCGAGAGTTCAATGGATGTGCTGACATGTCTGCTGAGACTCAGTTGAGACACCAGCACACTGGGATAGCAGAGTCCTACTCTTTCTACTCGGCAGCCCCAGCGTCTGCCCCAGCAGATTCCACTCCTTGCTTCCCACACTATCACTTTTCCTGCCCTCCTCCTTCCTCCGTTCCCTCATTCCTGCTCTAGCAAGGATATTATTGTGCCCAGGAAAGGACACCTGGGAGAGAGTAACAATGGCTGCCTTCCAGATATCCGTAAGACAAGTTTTGGCAGCTATAGGTAAGGGGCTTTCCCCATAAGAAAGCGTATTCTCAGTCCCATTCCTCCCTTCGCATCCTCACCCTCCGGTGTAGCTGTGGCAATGGAACCTGCTGCATCAGTGGTGATTAAGTAATTTTCACTCAGGCAAGGAAATCGGCTCCTCAACTCCTTTATCAGGAGCCTCACTGCATCCTCCTGCTCCCCACCACTCAGGGACAGGCCCTAGGCCACAAGGAGAGGAACAAGCTAAGCAAAGGAAAAGAGGGAACAGCCCTAGAGCAGCTCCATTCCCAACCCCTCTCCTCCTGACAGCAATCTGGCCAAACTCAGTTCATTCAATGTAGCCCCTTCACCCACAACAAACCCTTAGAAGGCCATGCCTGCAGGAACAGCCTGGCTTAGGAAAGGGTGGAGGAAAGGAGCAAGGTGAGGGGATATGGAGAAAGCAACTTGGTTTGACATATATGGGTTCTGGCTATGCCTGCATATCTATCTCCCGTGTATATATGGGAAATAGCCATAGCCACAGCAACGTGGGAGGAAGAAGAGCTAACATTTAAAGAGCCATCAGGTTGATGGTGCTGACCATTTTGGAATGCATCACATTATCTTACTTTCCCTATAACTCTTATTTGCAAAATGAGGAAACCGAGGCTTAGAGAAGGTAACTCACTTAAGGGCCATTATGTTGAATGGTAAAGCTGAGATTCTAATCAAGGAATAAATGGGTCTCTGGAGCCCCATGCTCTTAAAATACATTCTCAGCTTATAGATGATCACTGAAACCACAAGAACGAACAAGATCTAGGGCCCTGGCCTCTAGTCATCAAGTTCATCTAGTCCTACTGGCTGCCTGCCTCAGCCCTGCTGATAGCCCAGGCTCCAGCTGACTCACCAGACTTCGAAGGGGTACCAGAGGATCCACTCCAGCCTTCTGTTTGGCCCTGTCCACCATCTCGTTGATCCTCTCCACACACTTGTCTGTGCCAATCAGCTGGTCCCAACAGTGAAAGAGATGTTAAAACAGCCTGCAGGACCTGTGCTGCCCCTACCAGCTGCTAAGAGACCCAGCCACCACCTCAATAGCAGTTACTATACATTACATGAGAGCCAAGCCCTCTGGTCCCCTCAGGATGGCTTTTTACCCAGTGGTTTGTGCTCAGTCCATCTGCTTCTGCCAGGATCTTCCCATCCTCAGAAAGTAAAAGGACTTTGGACCCTGTGCCTCCCCTACAAAACACAAGAGGGCACTCAGTCCTGATAGAATTGTAGACAGAGAGCCAAGCTTGCAAACTAGTCCATTATAATCTAGGGTAGAGAAGCTTCAGCAAACCCAACCATACTCCCAAACCTGCCTGTTTAGTGTCTGCTACACTCTGGAAAGGGAAGTAGGGCTTCGCTCATTTTTCGATGGTAGGTCTACCTCTCCTGCAAGGTCCCACTTGCTCATCACCTGGACCTTACAATCTGTCTGATGGAGGGCTTCTCCACACATCAGTAAAGCCACTGGTTGACTAAGACTGCTCCGAACCAAGAGTGCATTCAGTTGTTTCGTGTCTGCCTCTCACGAGCTCCACGGAGTGAAGCTCCAAAGCTAACTTGCTCAGAGCCTGGCGGAAGCAACTTATGGCAAATACAATGGAGGAGAAAAGCAGACCTCTTTACTCCTCTCACAACAGCTCAGGGCTGTTTCAATAACCATCTCCCTGCCACCAAGGTCTTTAGGACACCTGTGAGAGATGATCACTAGACAGGGAGAAATTTATACTGACTTCAGTAACTAAACCCTCCTGAGTTAAAACCCTGGGTAAGGGTAGTTTAGAAGAAGACTGATGTGTGGTGGAGTGATGTCCTAGTGATCAGTACTTCATGGAATGCAATAGACAATGAAGACTCCATGATCCAACTCAAGGAGAATATCAAGTTCAGAGGGGACATTAACTCATGAGACCGCAGACTAAAAATAACTTCTGACAAACTGGGGGAAATAATTTCTACCTGCCATATGAATATAACAAGGCTAAGGGCAAACTCCTACACTGTGCTCAGGGTTTTTCCTTGTTTTTAAGGTGTCACAAGTCAGAGGACACCCAGTTTAGCAATCATGGGAACAGACTTACGGGTAAGGCAGCAGTGAGCTGCTAGGAAACTAAATCCTCCTCACAGGTCCTGATTTGACACACCCAGATCCACAAAATGCCTGTCTTGCTCAGGGGACAGGGTAAACCACCATCTTGCTCGACCTCGTCCTTGCTTTACACATGTGGCAACAGAAGCCCAGAAAAGGCAGACGTCTCACCAAAAACCACGCTCAGCAGAGCTCCTTCTCAAAGCCAACAGACCAGCTAGAAGGTAGGAACCCAGGACCTTCGAGGCCGACAGCAGTGAAGGGTCCCAGGCACCAGAACAAGACAGTGCTCTGGTGACAGCTGCTCAACTCCCGGGTTCACTTGGGCATAAATCTCAGTCTGAACTTCCGCCTCTTTCGCACGTCCACCGTGACCCGCAACTTCCCACCCGACCCCATCTCTGCACAACTCTTTCCAGGTTGATAAGTAAGGCACAAGAGCCCCGGGGCGGAAAGGGGTGGGCGAGAGGGGCGTGGCCGCGCCGTGGCGCACAAAGGCACCGGCGTGGAGTGGGCGCCGCGGGTCAGGACAAACAGCCTCCCGCCGATCCAGCGCTCACCCTTCCACGCCGCCATAGAGCGCGGCCATGCTGCAGCCGTTCCCACAGGGCCCGCCGTTGCAAGTTCGCCCGCAGCTCCGGCTTCGTTTCCGCGCGCGCCGCCGCACCGCCCGCGTCACGTGAGCGGGTGCGCATGCGCGGGACGCGAAGCTCCGTCCCGTCTCGCCCAGGCTGGCCGGCCTGGCCGTACTCTCGCGCCCCTTCCAAACCGCCCTTGAGCGCCGAGCTTCCACGCCGGGGCCGAGCCCCAGCTGAGCAGCCTGGGGGGGTTTCGACCAGAGAACTGCGAGCTGCCCCGGCCGGAACAGCCGGCAGCTTCGCGGGTGACTGTGGGATGCGCACTCGCAGACGCCTGCCGCGGCACTCCCGGAGTCTGGCGGAAACACCTCAGGGCCCCGGCCAGAGCCAAAGGGCCCAAACACCCCTGCCCTTGCTCAGGACCCCGGCCTAGAGTCTACGCTACGTTGAAAAGCCCCAGGCTGTTGTCGCCTCGGGTCTACGGGTCTACGTGGTGATAGGGCTAGAACCCGTGGTTGCTTGCTTGTCAGTCAAGCGCTCTGCAAGAGCCCAGTTCTGTTCTTTTTGGACAGTGACTCTTATGTATAACCCAGACTGGCTAGACTGTAGTGCTGGCTCAGTCTGCTAAACGTTGGCATTCAGAGGCCATATTGCACCTTCTGGCCACCACCTGTTCCCTTAATCAAACATGTGCAGTGGAAGTGAAGGAGGAAGATAGTGCTGGGTCTGGCAGAAGAGTGGCTCCTACGTGCCTCCTCCAGGTGGTCCCAGGCCCATTAGAAGCAGCTTCGATCGCCAGGAGGGCAGTCTAGCTCCTGACATTTCTTTGACAGTTCAGGTGGAGCCTCTACAGGGCTAGCCTGCCTCCCCTGGAGAAATCTTGAACTGGGATCTTCTCTCCCTGATAGCGAATTGGGGCCAGTTGTGTTTTGATGTGAACAATTTGGCCTCATATCTTAAACGTACCTCACATTCTGGCTGAGAATGACCTTAAACTCGTGATTCTCCTGCCCCACCTCCCAAGTGCTAGGATGTTTTTGGTGTAGGCATGCTTTACTTGAGTCAGTAAAGCACCAAATAACTCAAGAATAAAAACAATGTTACTGCCTGATAGAGAAACTAGAAGAAGGTCTTAATGCCCACTTGAGACATTCATTCACAGTACATCAAAGCTGGAAAATACTTTATTCAACAGCATTTTTAGAATAAAAGCTAATTCCACAGGATTCTAACTGAACAGATGCTTTGGCAGAAACATTAAGTAGTAGGTGAATTTTTGAAGGAAATTTTCCTTCTTTGCACTAGCGTAATGAGTCTTGGGACATTTGTGACAGCACTCAAGTGTGCTTTAGTATTATTGTTTGGATTTTTTTTTTTTTAATGAGGTCTCAAGTCACTAATGCTGGCCCTATACTCCTGAGGTTCCTGAGGTTGTCTTTGAACCCGAATCTTCCTGCCTCTACATCCCCAAAATGCCAGGACTAAAGGACTACACTGCCCTCCCAGCTTTATGGTGCTTGTTTAGAAAAGAATAAAAGAGAGAAAGTTTGGTTTGAAGACAGGATTGGATTCTGAATTTGATTTTGGATGAGAATTACATATAATCACTGCCAGTTCTCACTTTCAGAATGAAGATGATAACCCTCGGGCCGCCTGCCACTCTTGCAGAACACTGGAAGTGAGTTCCCAGGGCCTCACAAGTCCTGGGACTCCAGCCCGAAGGAACTCAGCTCTGTCTTCTGGCCTCTTTGGGCACTGCACTGATGCACACACACAATTCAATAATAATAATAAATCCAGCCAGGTGGTGATGGCACATGCCTTTAATCCCAGCACTTGGGAAGCAGAGGCAGGTGGATCTATATAAGTTCGAGGCCAGCCTGGTCTACACAGTGAGTTCCAGGACAGCCAGGGCTACACAGAGAAACCCTGTCTTGAAAAACAAATAAAATCAAACAAACAAACAAAAAAATAGACTATAAACCTCCAGAGACCCAATCAAATAGCTCTCATGTAGCCCAGGCTCACCTCAAACTCCCTATGTAGACAAGAATGACTATGAACTTCATATCCTCCTGCCTCAACTTCCCAAGTGCTGGGATTACAGGTAATCACCACCATGCCTGGTTATGTAGTGCTAGTAATTGATCCCGGGGTTTTGCGCACTGTAGACAACCTACCAACAACTGAACTACCCCCGGGCTAATTTTATTTATATCCACATGTACAGTAAGTAAGCGCTTGAAAATACACATGGGCTTGGTAATAAAATCACAAACTAAATATTAACTTTTACATGGATTCCATAGTGGAAGGATAACATTTGGGATATAGTGAGTTAATTTTTTGTATCATTCACATTGATTTTGCTGGTCTTCTTAGCTTTTAAATTAGAAAAATGTAAATCACACATGTGGCTCATGGTTGTGGTTTGCATTACGTTCCAGTAGCTGTTCTGGGTCTTGTCTTCTGTCCATGCTAACCAGATTATTTCAAAGTCACTGAATTGTCCATCTTTATGAAACACACTAGTCATATTAAAACAGTGCAGTGAGTGAAAGGTTGATAAGAGCATTGATATCATGCCCATTGCACATGATTCTTCTAGGGGTGTGTTTTGTTTTAGTTGGTGGTACTGGGGCTTGAACCTAGGCCTTGACATGTGCTAGGCCGGGGCTGCACCACTAAGCTACATTCCCACCCTGTGCTCGCAATTCTTTAATGCTTCTTTTACCCATCTGCTTATCATGCTAAAAACTAAGAAATCACAAGTGATTCTAACCATGTTACAAAGGGGGAACTTGAGTGGTGAAATCCAAGCACACAAACAGATTTGTGTGAAATCTGCTCACACAAACGATAAATGCTTGTTAAGGATGTGGTTACAAGGCTGGGGCAATAAAGATGGCGCAGTGCAAGGTGTTTGTTTGCCTTTAAGTGGCTTCATCAAGGTCTGTGCCCTTTTGGCCTCCAGCTTGCAACATCCCCACAGCTGTTCCCATGGTGCTCACAAGATTGGTAATGTTCTAGAAGGAATCTGCAAACCACGGCTGCTGTCTTCCCTCTTCTGTCCCCGTGACCCCAGAGAGGCCTTCACTGCAGAAGAGGCAGGATGAGGGTGGGAAGAGGGATGATGGAAGATACCTCTCATGCCAAATTCACTCACAACAAGGAAGCAGAGGATCCCTGGCCCAAGGTCCTTCCTTAGCAGATTACTGATTTAGTCCATATGGCACAGCCATGTCTGTTGTTACGCAGTGCTCTTTCCAGTGTTGACCTCACTACCGTAATCACTGTGAAAGCACCAGGAGACTGTGAGATAGTGCCATGACAAGAGTAAATGCTAAGAGAGGGAGCAAGTGAGCTCCACGGCAAAAATGGTTTTCAACACACACTAATGAAGTATGGGGAAAACAGGCAAACCTGTGAACTGAGGAAGCAGAGCTGGACACGGGGCCCATCAAGTCTCACTAGGATCTCACTGTGAAAGTTTCCAGTATAAATGTGATTCCAGCTCCGTACTTTAGAAAATCTGGCAGGTTCCATACAGGAGGATAAATGGGAGGGAGGAGCTTGAAGCAGGCAGACACTTAGAAGACAGAAGATAAGCAAGGAGATTATGAGGAGGAGCAGAGAAGAGCCACAGAAAGAGATCATGCTGTCCCTCTGTTGTTGGGAATATGGGGAAAAAGGCCTGAACGGCCCTGCCATTACCATAGTCAAAGAGGTTTCCACCCTGGCTGTACAGCTCTACCTGGTAACTGGAGATAAAGGAAGGCAGTTCTGATCCGCAGAGGACGAAGACTGGAACACATAAGAACAGGCCTATCTTGGCTCACAGTTCAAGAGTACAGTGCCTCATGGGGTGGGCTGGTGTGCAAGGCAGCTGATCGCACTGCATCACTGTTATGAAAAAGAACCAGAGGCAGTGCACTTTTCAGCTACCCAGATACCTCACACTAAGGCCCCAGGCCAGGGCCTTTTTGTTTACTTCTTTTGGTTTGGTTTGGGCTGAACCTTCAGCTGACAGGGAGCCATCCTGGACAAGAAGATGATTGTTGTTGGAGGAAACAACAATCCAAGACCTGTTCCTCCAAGACCTGAGGAAATTGGGCAAAGGTGGGCCTGCACAGGGGCTATGAGGAGAGCACCCTTCCACGCCTGCCTCTAGGTTCTGTTCAGGAAAGACTCCGGCCTGCCACAGCCTATAGTCCCCATAGTAGCTTCCAGCAATTAGGACACTGAGCATGACCAGACCCAGAGAGGCATGACCTGAACTCTTTTATTATCATTATTTGGGGGACAGGGCCTCCTATCTTCTAGGATGACCTCCAACTTGTTCTGTAGCTGAGCATGACCTTTAACTCCCGACCCTCCTGTCTCCCCGAGTGCTGGGATTCCAAGGTCTGTGACTGTACCTTGTTCATGTGGTGCTGGGCACCCAGAGATCCGTGCACTCGAGGCAAGCGCTCTACCAGTTGAGCGACAGCCCCCGCCTTAGACCACTTCTTGTGTATGTTCCCAGAAAATACAAAGGGGCGTCACTGGGGCTGTTGCTGGCCCACTGTGGCTTGTTTCTGTCTGGGAGTCACTGGGGCTGTTGCTGGCCCACTGTGGCTTGTTTCTGTCTGTGTGCATGTTTGCTCTTGAGACCCACTCACCCATATTCCCGCCTAGGACGCTGGGGAAAGAAGGGTGGGAGAAGCACGCTGTAGTCCACAGCAGCCCTGACTTTACAGGCTCCTGGTGAGAGCAGATGTGGTAGGAACAACATAGGCTGCAAGATAGGCAAGGACAGCACTGAAGACTTCCTGGAGGAGGCAGGATTTGGGGCTGTCTTTGAGACTGAGTGCTATTTATTCTAATTCCAAACTAGAAAGAGATTCACACCCTTAAAAGGTTTGGACTCTGGTTGTCATGGGTGTGTATGTCTGTAATTTCAGCCTTCCAGGGAGAGAGGCAGAAGTATGGAGGGTTTGAGGTGAGACCTGGGTTCAAAAAAAAACCCATAAAGGAGGCAGGGATGTTATCACAGGCCTTTTAGTCCCAACACAAAAGAGGCAGGGTCAGGCAGCTCTCTGTGTGTTCCAGACCAG